TAACTGGTTTTGGTATCTAATACTGAAATTTGGGTATCATCACAAACCTAGTCTGAGCATGTGTATTAACTACAAGATTTTTCATGCTCTGTTTACCATCTTCCTCCAATTTAGTTTTTTTCTCTCCATCTATCTCTCTCTCTCTCTCTCGAGTCTCATCCAATCTGTCCCTTCACACATTCCTCAGCTCCTGTCTGCTTTCTGATTGGCAGTCGGTTTTTGTGTTCCTCTGTCATTAGATGTGTGGTGTGAAATCCTGTTCATCGTTGGCCTTTGAATCATCCTCTCTTCTGGGAGTTATGACAAGCCTTTTATCTGATGTAGTAACACCATTCACTCATGCAGCTCATTATGACTAAAACATCTGAAGCATCACACACACTCACATTTTCAAACAAAGAGCATGTGAGCACAGCTAAACACTCAAAAAGATAAAGGAAATCTAAAAGAAACCCTCCTCAGGTGAATGACTAGTTGACTACTTACTAATTATAATAAAATGAAAATACATTGTTTATTTACAAAAAAATAAATAAATACATTTTTTTTATCATCTCTCAAAAAAAAGCTACTTATAAAAAGCCACAAGACTTAAACATTACACATTAACATGATAATAGTGTGATAAAATCATTTACTATCCTTGCTTTCATTAAATTTTTCATCTCTTGTTGTAACTAGGGCTGGGTATCGTTCAAAAATGTTTGATATCGATACCGATACCTTGACTTCGATACCGGTTCCTGAATGATACTTTTTTCTATACCAATTTTATGAAATCTATTTTAACAAGATTACATTATCAAAAAAAAACTTTGGTTTTATTTTTCAGCTTGTTGATGTTTATACAGACTCCTGAGCCACTGCACAAAGGAACAAACTGTAACCAACACAATAAATCAGTGCAAATAGTTTTAATAAAGCTCAAATAGTCTTCAGTTTACACATCTGTTAGCTACATTTACACTAGTGCGTGTTTGTTTTAAAACGCATAGCTCAGACAGAATCATAATTTCTATTCATTTTCCACTGATGAGCATTAGCAGTTTCTAGCGCTGTCTGCCTGTGCTCTCTCTTCCATGATCGCTGCTCTGACTCAGAGGTTATAATATATTTCATTTCATCAACAATACATGGCCAAAACACACACGGCAATCGGAAGTTATTACAAACATAATATACTGTATATATATATATATATATATATATATATATATACAGTATATTATGTTTGTAATAACTTCCGATTGCCGTGTGTGTTTTGGCCATGTATTGTTGATGAAATGAAATATATTATAACCTCTGAGTCAGAGCAGCGATCATGGAAGAGAGAGCACAGGCAGACAGTGCTAGAAACTGCTAATACTTATCAGTAAATCAATAGAAAATGAATAGAAATGACGATTCTGTCTGAGCTAGGTGATTCTGTCACACGCACTAGTGTAAATGTAGCTAACAGATGTGTAAACTGAAGACTATTTGAGCTTTATTAAAACTATTTGCACTTATTTTTTGTTTGTTACATTTGGTTCCTTTGTGCAGTGGCTTTGTGGAGTTTGTATAAACATCAACAACCTGAAAAATAAAACAATTTTTTTTTTAGATAATGTAATCTTGTTCAAATAGATTTCATAAAATTGGTATCGAAAAAA